GCCGCCACAGCAGAATGAACCGCCAACTTATCCAGCACGTTTTTACGCAGAGGATGCCCTTGCTGCCGCAACCCATCTCTGGGAAACTGAATGACTAATATGTACTGGGATAATGTGTTATTCCATTAAACAGCTACTTGGTTATCTCAAAGCAGGCCAGTAGCCTGCTTTTTATAAAAAAATTTTTTCTAAAAATGTGGATTTTTTACTGACATTTTAAGCACTATTTTAGCTGGATTAGCCTGTTAAGTCTTCATCATAATGACACATTTAATGTATCAAAATATTTTCTAAAGATTTAGAAAAAAAATAATTAAATACTTATTTTTAAAATACAAATGCATTAGATCATAAATCATTAGAAAAAATAGGAATCTGTTGAAGTTTTAATTAAAAACTGTAGCCTATAGCAGCTTTAGCCTACAAACATTTAACTGTACTAGATTAAAAGCTTTCAGACACCTTGATGTTTTAGTTCAGGTGTATGAGATTTGCAAAGATGGTACCGTCTGCAGGTTGGTTGCCCTCCACATACAACTCTAGTCAATCGTGATTTTCTACCCACTTGTCTTTTTTATCTTAAAACCTTGCTCCAGGTGAGGCTCGAACTCACAACCTCAGCAATGCTAAGCATCGTACTGTCTTATAAGTACCGCGCACTGACCTATTGCGCGACTGGAGCTGTTGCCTAAAAGCGTTCAAACAATGAAATGATTCCTAAAACATTCCTCATTTAGATCATACAGGATTAAAAGCTTTTTAGAGATCTTGACGTTTTAGCTCAGGTGTAAAAGACTTGCAAAGATGGTACCGTCTGCAGGTTGGTTGCCCTCCACATACAACTCTAGTCAATCGTGATTTTCTACCCACATGTCTTTTTTATTTTAAAACCTTGCTCCAGGTGAGGCTCAAACTCACAACCTTGACATTGCTAAGCATCGTACTGTCTTATAAGTACCGCGCGCTGACCGATTGCACCACTGGAGCTGTTGCATAATGTGGTTTCAAACAATGAAGTGATTCCTAAAAACAGCAATGATGATACAATTTACAGCTTAGTTAGCATAGACAGATTAGTATCGAAGATACAATCAGCAAGTTTTTTTGCCCTCCACAATCTACTCTGGACAGCACTAGCTTTCACCCCACTTTTCTTCTTTATCTAAAGACCATGCTCCAGGTGAGGCTCAACATCACAACCTCAGCATTGCTAAGCATTGTATTGTCTTATTAATACCACACGCTAAACCGATTGCGCCACTGGAGCTATTGCATGAAGTGATTTCAAACAATGTAGTGATTTCTAAAACATTCCTGATTCAGATCATAGAGGATTAAAAGCATTCAGAGACCTTGATGTTTCAGTTCAGGAGTTGAGAATTAGCATAGATGATAGAACCTGCAGGTTGGTTGCCCTCCACAATGCACTCTGGTCAATGGTAATTTTTAACCCCCTTGTCTTCTTTATCTTAAAAACACGCCCCAGGTGAGGTTTGAATTCACAACCTCAGCATTGCTAAGCATTGTACTGTCTTATAATTTCCATGCGCTGACCGATTTCACCACTGGAGCTGCGGTCTTAATGCTTTCAAACAGTGCAGTGGTTCCTAAAACATTCCTGATTCAGATCATAGTGGAATAAAAGCTTTTAGACACCTTGATGTTTTAGTTCAGGTGTATGAGATTTGCAAAGATGGTACCGTCTGCAGGTTGGTTGCCCTCCACATACAACTCTAGTCAATCGTGATTTTCAACCCACATGTCTTTTTTATTTTAAAACCTTGCTCCAGGTGAGGCTCGAACTCACAACCTCAGCATTGCTAAGCATTGTACTGTCTTATAAGTACCGCGCGCTGACCGATTGCGCCACTGGAGCTGTTGCATAACGAGGTTTCAAACAATGCAGTGATTCTTAAAAACCGCAATGATGATACAATTTACAGCTTAGTTAGCATAGACAGATTAGTATCGAAGATACAATCAGCAAGTTTTTTGCCCTCCACAATCTACTCTGGAAAGCACTAGCTTTCACCCCACTTTTCTTCTTTATCTAAAGACCATGCTCCAGGTGAGGCTCAAAGTCACAACCTCGGCATTGCTAAGCATTGTATTGTCTTATAAGTACCACACGCTAAACCGATTGCACCACTGGAGCTATTGCATGAAGTCATTTTAAACAATGCAGTGATTTCTAAAAAATTCCTGATTCAGATCATAGAGGATTAAAAGCTTTCAGAGACCTTCATGTTTTAGTTCAGCTGTAAGAAATTTGCAAAGATGGTACTGTCTGCAGGTTGGTTGCCCTCCACATACAACTCTAGTCAATCGTGATTTTCTACCCACTTGTCTTTTTTTATCTTAAAACCTTGCTCCAGGTGAGGCTCGAACTCACAACCTCGGCATTGCTAAGCATTGTACTGTCTTATAAGTACCGCGCGCTGACCGATTGCGCCACTGGAGCTGTTGCATAATGTGGTTTCAAACAATGCAGTGATTCTTAAAAACCGCAATGATGATACAATTTACAGCTTAGTTAGCATAGACAGATTAGTATCGAAGATACAATTAGCAAGTTTTTTGCCCTCCACAATCTACTCTGGACAGCACTAGCTTTCACCCCACTTTTCTTCTTTATCTAAAGACCATGCTTCAGGTGAGGCTCAAAGTCACAACCTCAGCATTGCTAAGCATTGTATTGTCTTATAAGTACCACACGCTAACCGATTGCGCCACTGGAGCTATTGCATGAAGTTATTTCAAACAATGCAGTGATTCCTAAAACATACCTGATTCAGATCAGACTGGATTAAAAGCTTTCAAAGACCTTGATGTTTTAGTTCAGGTGTTAAGGATTAGCATAGATGATAGAACCTGCAGGTTGGTTGCCCTCCTTAGCGCACTCTGGTCAATGGTAATTTTTAACCCCCTTGTCTTCTTTATTTTAAAAACATGCTCCAGGTGAGGTTTGAACTCACAACCTCAGCATTGTTAAGCATTGTACTGTCTCATAAGTTCCACGCGCTGACCGATTTCACCACTGGAGCTGTGGGCTTAATGTTTTCAAACAGTGCAGTGGTTCCTAAAACATTCCTGATTCAGATCATAGAGGATTAAAAGCTTTCAGAGACCTTGATGTTTTAGTTCAGCTGTCAGAGATTTGCAAAGATGGTACCGTCTGCAGGTTGGTTGCCCTCTACATACAACCCTAGACAATTGTGATTTTCTACCCACTTGTCTTTTTTATCTTAAAACCTTGCTCCAGGTGAGGCTCGAACTCACAACCTCAGCATTGCTAAGCATTGTACTGTCTTATAAGTACCGCGCGCTGACCGATTGCGCCACTGGAGCTGTAGCATAACGTGATTTCAAACAATGCCGTGATTCCTAAAAACAGCAATGATGATACAATCTACAGCTTTGTTGGCATAGACAGATTAGTATCGAAGATACAATCAGCAAGTTTGTTGCCCTCCACGATCTACTCTGGACAGCACTAGCTTTCACCCCACTTTTCTTCTTTATCTAAAGACCATGCTTCAGGTGAGGCTCAAAGTCACAATCTCGGCATTGCTAAGCATTGTATTGTCTTATAAGTACCACACGCTAACCAATTGCGCCACTGGAGCTATTGCATTAAGTGATTTCAAACAATGCAGTGATTTCTAAAACATTCCTGATTCAGATCATAGAGGATTCAAAGCTTTCAGAGACCTTGATGTTTTAGTTCAGCTGTAAGAGATTTGCAAAGATGGTACCGTCTGCAGGTTGGTTGCCCTCCACATACAACTCTAGTCAATCGTGATTTTCTACCCACATGTCTTTTTTATTTTAAAACCTTGCTCCAGGTGAGGCTCGAACTCTCAACCTCGGCATTGCTAAGCATCGTACTGTCTTATAAGTACCGCGCGTTGATCGATTGCGCCACTGGAGCTGTTGCCTAATGTGGTTTCAAACAATGCAGTGATTCTTAAAAACCGCAATGATGATACAATTTACAGCTTAGTTAGCATAGACAGATTAGTATCGAAGATACAATCAGCAAGTTTTTTGCCCTCCACAATCTACTCTGGACAGCACTAGCTTTCACCCCACTTTTCTTCTTTATCTAAAGACCATGCTTCAGGTGAGGCTCAAAGTCACAACCTCGGCATTGCTAAGCATTGTATTGTCTTATAAGTACCACACGCTAACCGATTGCGCCACTGGAGCTATTGCATGAAGTTATTTCAAACAATGCAGTGATTCCTAAAACATACCTGATTCAGATCAGACTGGATTAAAAGCTTTCAAAGACCTTCATGTTTTAGTTCAGCTGTAAGAGATTTGCAAAGACCGTCTGCAGGTTGGTTGCCCTCCACATACAACTCTAGTCAATCGTGATTTTCTACCCACATGTCTTTTTTTATTTTAAAACCTTGCTCCAGGTGAGGCTCGAACTCACAACCTCGGCATTGCTAAGCATCATACTGTCTTATAAGTACCGCGCGCTGACCGATTGCGCCACTGGAGCTGTTGCATAACGAGGTTTCAAACAATGCAGTGATTCTTAAAAACCGCAATGATGATACAATTTACAGCTTAGTTAGCATAGACAGATTAGTATCGAAGATACAATCAGCAAGTTTTTTGCCCTCCACAATCTACTCTGGACAGCACTAGCTTTCACCCCACTTTTCTTCTTTATCTAAAGACCATGCTCCAGGTGAGGCTCAAAGTCACAACCTCGGCATTGCTAAGCTTTGTATTGTCTTATAAGTACCACACGCTAAACAGATTGCGCCACTGGAGCTATTGCATGAAGTTATTTCAAACAATGCAGTGATTTCTAAAACATTCCTGATTCAGATCATAGAGGATTCAAAGCTTTCAGAGACCTTGATGTTTTAGTTCAGCTGTAAGATATTTGCAAAGATGGTACCGTCTGCAGGTTGGTTGCCCTCCACATACAACTCTAGTCAATCGTGATTTTCTACCCACATGTCTTTTTTATTTTAAAACCTTGCTCCAGGTGAGGCTCGAACTCACAACCTCGGCATTGCTAAGCATCGTATTGTCTTATAAGTACCACACGCTAAACCGATTGCACCACTGGAGCTATTGCATGAAGTCATTTTAAACAATGCAGTGATTTCTAAAAAATTCCTGATTCAGATCATAGAGGATTAAAAGCTTTCAGAGACCTTCATGTTTTAGTTCAGCTGTAAGAGATTTGCAAAGATGATACTGTCTGCAGGTTGGTTGCCCTCCACATACAACTCTAGTCAATCGTGATTTTCTACCCACATGTCTTTTTTATTTTAAAACCTTGCTCCAGGTGAGGCTCGAACTCACAACCTCGGCATTGCTAAGCATCGTACTGTCTTATAAGTACCGCGCGCTGACCGATTGCGCCACTGGAGCTGTTGCATAATGTGGTTTCAAACAATGCAGTGATTCTTAAAAACCGCAATGATGATACAATTTACAGCTTAGTTAGCATAGACAGATTAGTATCGAAGATACAATTAGCAAGTTTTTTGCCCTCCACAATCTACTCTGGAAAGCACTAGCTTTCACCCCACTTTTCTTCTTTATCTAAAGACCATGCTTCAGGTGAGGCTCAAAGTCACAACCTCAGCATTGCTAAGCATTGTATTGTCTTATAAGTACCACACGCTAACCGATTGCGCCACTGGAGCTATTGCATGAAGTTATTTCAAACAATGCAGTGATTCCTAAAACATACCTGATTCAGATCAGACTGGATTAAAAGCTTTCAAAGACCTTGATGTTTTAGTTCAGGTGTTAAGGATTAGCATAGATGATAGAACCTGCAGGTTGGTTGCCCTCCTTAGCGCACTCTGGTCAATGGTAATTTTTAACCCCCTTGTCTTCTTTATTTTAAAAACATGCTCCAGGTGAGGTTTGAACTCACAACCTCAGCATTGTTAAGCATTGTACTGTCTCATAAGTTCCACGCGCTGACCGATTTCACCACTGGAGCTGTGGGCTTAATGTTTTCAAACAGTGCAGTGGTTCCTAAAACATTCCTGATTCAGATCATAGAGGATTAAAAGCTTTCAGAGACCTTGATGTTTTAGTTCAGCTGTAAGAGATTTGCAAAGATGGTACCGTCTGCAGGTTGGTTGCCCTCTACATACAACCCTAGACAATTGTGATTTTCTACCCACTTGTCTTTTTTATCTTAAAACCTTGCTCCAGGTGAGGCTCGAACTCACAACCTCAGCATTGCTAAGCATTGTACTGTCTTATAAGTACCGCGCGCTGACCGATTGCGCCACTAGAGCTATTGCATATCGAGATTTCAAACAATGCCGTGATTCCTGAAAACAGCAATGATGATACAATCTACAGCTTAGTTGGCATAGACAGATTAGTATCGAAGATACAATCAGCAAGTTTGTTGCCCTCCACGATCTACTCTGGACAGCACTAGCTTTCACCCTACTTTTCTTCTTTATCTAAAGACCATGCTTCAGGTGAGGCTCAAAGTCACAACCTCGGCATTGCTAAGCATTGTATTGTCTTATTAATACCACACACTAACCGATTGCGCCACTGGAGCTATTGCATTAAGTGATTTAAAACAATGCAGTGATTTCTAAAACATTCCTGATTCAGATCATAGAGGATTCAAAGCTTTCAGAGACCTTGATGTTTTAGTTCAGCTGTAAGAGATTTGCGAAGACGGTACCGTCTGCAGGTTGGTTGCCCTCCACATACACCTCTAGTCAATCGTGATTTTCTACCCACATGTCTTTTTTATTTTAAAACCTTGCTCCAGGTGAGGCTCGAACTCACAACCTCGGCATTGCTAAGCATCATACTGTCTTATAAGTACCGCGCGCTGATCGATTGCGCCACTGGAGCTGTTGCATAACATGGTTTCAAACAATGCAGTGATTCTTAAAAACCGCAATGATGATACAATTTACAGCTTAGTAAGCATAGACAGATTAGTATCGAAGATACAATCAGCAAGTTTTTTGCCCTCCACAATCTACTCTGGACAGCACTAGCTTTCACCCCACTTTTCTTCTTTATCTAAAGACCATGCTCCAGGTAAGGCTCAAAGTCACAACCTCGGCATTGCTAAGTATTGTATTGTCTTATTAATACCACACGCTAAACCGATTGCGCCACTGGAGCTATTGCATGAAGTGATTTCAAACAATGCAGTGATTCCTAAAACATTCCTGATTCAGATCATAGAGGATTAAAAGCTTTCACAGACCTTGATGTTTTAGTTCAGGTGTTAAGGATTAGCATAGATGATAGAACCTGCAGGTTGGTTGCCCTCCTTAGCGCACTCTGGTCAATGGTAATTTTTAACCCCCTTGTCTTCTTTATCTTAAAAACATGCTCCAGGTGAGGTTTGAACTCACAACCTCAGCATTGTTAAGCATTGTACTGTCTTATAAGTTCCACGCGCTGACCGATTTCACCACTGGAGCTGTGGGCTCAAAGTTTTCAAACAGTGCAGTGGTTCCTAAAACATTCCTGATTCAGATCATAGAGGATTAAAAGCTTTCAGAGACCTTGATGTTTTAGTTCAGCTGTAAGAAATTTGCAAAGATGGTACCGTCTGCAGGTTGGTTGCCCTCCACATACAACTCTAGTCAATCGTGATTTTCTACCCACTTGTCTTTTTTTATCTTAAAATCTTGCTCCAGGTGAGGCTCGAACTCACAACCTCGGCATTGCTAAGCATTGTACTGTCTTATAAGTACCGCGCGCTGACCGATTGCGCCACTGGAGCTGTTGTATACCGTGATTTCAAACAATGCCGTGATTCCTAAAAACAGCAATGATGATACAATTTACAGCTTAGTTAGCATAGACAGATTAGTATCGAAGATACAATCAGCAAGTTTGTTGCCCTCCACGATCTACTCTGGACAGCACTAGCTTTCACCCCACTTTTCTTCTTTATCTAAAGACCATGTTTCAGGTGAGGCTCAAAGTCACAACCTCGGCATTGCTAAGCATTGTATTGTCTTATTAATACCACACGCTAACCGATTGCGCCACTGGAGCTATTGCATGAAGTGATTTCAAACAATGCAGTGATTTCTAAAACATTCCTGATTCAGATCATAGAGGATTCAAAGCTTTCAGAGACCTTGATGTTTTAGTTCAGCTGTAAGAGATTTGCAAAGATGGTACCATCTGCAGGTTAGTTGCCCTCCACATACAACTCTAGTCAATTGTGATTTTCTACCCACATGTCTTTTTTATTTTAAAACCTTGCTCCAGGTGAGGCTCGAACTCACAACCTCGGCATTGCTAAAAGCATCGTACTGTCTTATAAGTACCGCGCGCTGACCGATTGCGCCACTGGAGCTGTTGCATAACGAGGTTTCAAACAATGCAGTGATTCTTAAAAACCGCAATGATCATACAATTTACAGCTTAGTTAGCATAGACAGATTAGTATCGAAGATACAATCAGCAAGTTTTTTGCCCTCCACAATCTACTCTGGAAAGCACTAGCTTTCACCCCACTTTTCTTCTTTATCTAAAGACCATGCTCCAGGTGAGGCTCAAAGTCACAACCTCGGCATTGCTAAGCATTGTATTGTCTTATAGGTACCACACGCTAAACCGATTGCGCCACTGGAGCTATTGCATGAAGTAATTTCAAACAATGCAGTGATTTCTAAAACATTCCTGATTCAGATCATAGAGGATTAAAAGCTTTCAGATACCTTGATGTTTTAGTTCAGCTGTAAGAGATTTGCAAACATGGTACCGTCTGCAGGTTGGTTGCCCTCCACATACAACTCTAGTCAATCGTGATTTTCTACCCACATGTCTTTTTTATTTTAAAACCTTGCTCCAGGTGAGGCTCGAACTCACAACCTCAGCATTGCTAAGCATTGTACTGTCTTATAAGTACCGCGCGCTGACCGATTGCGCCACTGGAGCTGTTGCATGACGTGATTTCAAACAATGCCGTGATTCCCAAAACAACAATGATGATACAATCTACAGCTCAGTTAGCATAGACAGATTAGTATCGAAGATACAATCAGCAAGTTTTTTGCCCTCCACAATCTACTTTGGACAGCACTAGCTTTCACCCCACTTTTCTTCTTTATCTAAAGACCATGCTCCAGGTGAGGCTCAGAGTCACAACTTCGGCATTGCTAAGCATTGTATTGTCTTATAAGTACCACACGCTAACCGATTGCGCCACTGGAACTATTGCATGAAGTGATTTCAAACAATGCAGTGATTTCTAAAACATTCCTGATTCAGATCATAGAGGATTAAAAGCTTTCAGAGACCTTGATGTTTTAGTTCAGCTGTAAGAGATTTGCAAAGATGGTACCGTCTGCTGGTTGGTTGCCCTCCACATACAACTCTAGTCAATCGTGATTTTCTACCCACTTGTCTTTTTTTATCTTAAAACCTTGCTCCAGGTGAGGCTCGAACTCACAACCTCAGCATTGCTAAGCATTGTACTGTCTTATAAGTACCACGCGCTGACCGATTGCGCCACTGGAGCTGTTGCATAACGTGATTTCAAACAATGCCGTGATTCCTAAAACAACAATGATGATACAATCTACAGCTTAGTTAGCATAGACAGATTAGTATCGAAGATACAATCAGCAAGTTTTTTGCCCTCCACAATCTACTCTGGAAAGCACTAGCTTTCACCCCACTTTTCTTCTTTATCTAAAGACCATGCTTCATGGTGAGGCTCAAAGTCACAACCTCGGCATTGCTAAGCATTGTATTGTCTTATAAGTACCACACGCTAACCGATTGCGCCACTGGAGCTATTGCATGAAGTTATTTCAAACAATGCAGTGATTCCTAAAACATACCTGATTCAGATCAGACTGGAAAAAAAGCTTTCAGAGACCTTGATGTTTTAGTTCAGGTGTTAAGGATTAGCATAGATGATAGAACCTGCAGGTTGGTTGCCCTCCTTAGCGCACTCTGGTCAATGGTAATTTTTAACGCCCTTGTCTTCTTTATCTTAAAAACATGCTCCAGGTGAGGTTTGAGCTCACAACCTCAGCATTGTTTAGCATTGTACTGCTTATAAGTTCCACGCGCTGACCGATTTCACCACTGGAGCTG